ATATAATCCACAATAACCTTTTTATACTTGACTTGTCTTAGTCACAAATCAATCACGATTTGTACAAATCACAATTTCATAACGATACATATATTAGTATTGTACTAACATAAACACATCCCCAATACAAAATCCATAATATACTTGAAACTCATTTTCTATCAAAATACTTAACTTAATAATTCATTTTTAATATTGGCACCAACTTTTCCAATTTATATAAAATGGTCATTCACCATTTTATCACTTAAATTTTAAATATAAAAAATTCCAGAAATTTCAGTACTGAAATTATTACCAACAATTACTTTTATAAAGGTAAATTACCTTTGAGCACCCCAACTATATAAATGTTGCACTTAAATCACCAATCTTTTCAAACTTCCAAAATAGTCATATTTCACATCTAAACACTCATTTCAATTCCCAAAATAGCATTTTCCAGTGTAGTACATCAACTATTAAACAATTATACAATCGTTCCTAATTTTTCCAAAATTATGAATTGGTCCCCTAACTTTTCAAAAATTATAAAATGGTCCCCAAATTTTTCCAAGGCTTGTAGAATACTTTCTACATCATTTCTAGACCTTATATAATTTTTCCATAATTGTTCTCACTCAAATACATCATGATTGAATATTTTATCCTTTAAAACTACGTTTTCATGATTTTGCTCGATTTTGATTCGATTCAAGCATGAAATCAACATTCAATCAACCTTTCAACATCTCCACAATCAAATCCCTAACCAACTCCATCAGAACACAAAGTTCTCCAACTTATAATTTGACCGAATTTTAAAGAATAATTTATAGGAAGATTAAACATGTTTTAACCATAAATCAAGCTTGAAAATGAATCTACAACCTCTAAATCATCAAGATTTATCGTCAATTTCATGAATCTTATCATGAACATAAACCCTTAGATTTAGGATCTTTGAAATCGAACAAGTTTAGAAAGAAATATTGGTATCAAATGATAGCGTTTTTCGCGTAGATCACCTTCCTATTTCACAGCATAACTCGAATTCCAAAAGATTGGCTCAAAAATGGAAAAAAATATTTTCTTACCTTTGAAGAAGCTCACGTCTTGCTTCTGGAGAAGATGAAGAAGTTTTGATAATTCTTCATCTTTTTTTAATGTTTAATGAATTAAAAATTCATTAAATACTAAATTACCAATTTACCCTGATATCAAAATATCTATACTAATTTACCCTTAATGAACTTGATATTTACATTAATACCATGCCACAACCTTATCATCTTCCAATAGTCAAAGATGAACAAAATATTTTCCACTTTACCATTTTACCCTTGCAATTTCCAAAAATTACAATTCAGTCACTTAATCTAACGGTTCAAATTAAACATGAATTAAACCATTAAATATTATTTTCCAACATTTTAAAAATGTGAAAATAATATTTTTATTTTCTTATTTTCGTGACCAATTTGTAACTTTGTTCAAATTAAACATGAATTAAACCATTAAATATTATTTTCCAACATTTTAAAAATGTTAAAATAATATTTTTATTTTCTTATTTTCGTGACCAATTTGTAACTTTTTTAAAATTACATTTTGGTCCCTAAACTTTTCAAAGTTTATACTTTGGTCACCAAACTTTCAAAATCTTATAATTTGATCACTAAACTAAATCCATTTATGGAATAAAATTCTTTTTGGGAAAAATACCATTTAGGTCTTTAAACTTTTCCCAATTTTCTACTTTAATCATCAAACTTTCAAAATTTATATTTTGGTCACTAGCCTACTTTTTGGGATGTTACATTGTTTGACACTTGAGAAACAATCAAGACACCAGAGTTCCTTTTAGCAGAAATACGATAGTTAGTGGATCCAAGTCAGTGCCACGGCACTACAGCAGCTGACTGGGCTCCAAATGTCCAAAGAATCGACATAGTAAGTCGGTGGGTGTAAGTTCTGATGAAGAATTTTGAATCTCACCCAGGAGTACCCGATGGTGCTTCGACAGTGCTAGAGATGTATGTGAGCTCCGAGATGTAGAATCCTTCAGCCGCACCATGATGCCAGCCACATATTAGCAGTCCAGTAGTTGTATACTCAGACCTATGCCATTTGCCATTTCATTTAGTGAATGCATATAGTATATTATAGTTTTTAGTGAGGCTCTGAGCTCGTAAGCTCATCGTTCGGAATGTGTTTTCGTGCGCAGGTTCTTAGGGAGCATATCGTGGGGAGCTATCGTCATCAGATATTCCAGTGTAGTCAATTCAGATTTCCAAAGACCTTTCAGTGTACGACCTGAGTCATCTTTAGAGGGCATGTACTGATATGGACCTTGTTATGTATTCAATCATAACTCTTTTGAAACTAGTTTTTTGTATTATTTTGCGGATGTATTTTGGGAGCTCCCCATTATTTGTAAACCCAATTTATTATTATGTTTTTATATTACATTATGAATGTCTAAATTTCAGAGATTTACAAGCATTTTAAAAGAAAATTTTGGGTCACTATTTTAATAGTCTCGTGTAACATTGTAATCCATGGATCTTCGAGTCTAACTAGATTAGGGTGTTATAGTAAATAAGTCGAGTTTAGTTTGAGTACAAGCTTAAAATTGTTGAGCTCGACTAGACCCGAAAATCGTGAGCTTAAAATTTTCAAGCTTGAATCAAAATAAAAAATTGAAGCTCAACTGATTTTTGAAAAATACTTGAACTCGAAAATTCTCAGACTTAGAGAAAGCCTTTTGTTCGTAATTTTTTAAAATAATATATAAATATTAATATTAAAAATAATTTAAAAGTTTAGTATATTATTTTTTAAAGTTACTCGTAAAAGTTTTTAGTTGAATATCTAGTACCTCACTTCAGCTCATTATAAAAATTCAAACCGAGTTTGAATTTGAGTCAAATATGTTCATTTTATTCATTTTAACATGGTTTTAAACATTGGGTATTAGTTTTAGAAAACTATTAGTGAAAATTTGAGTTGAAAAGGGTGAATTAAAGATGAAAATATAGTGTGGTGTTTGTGAAAAAGCTGCAGCAACAGTTATATGTTGCGCGGATGAGGCCGCACTTTATGCTAAATGTGATGTTGAAGTTCATGCAGATAACAAGCTTGCAAGTTTGCACCAAAGGCTTCTTCTTCAATGCCTTTCAAACAAGTTACACATGAAATTTTGAGATAATTGTATACACCAAAACTTTTACCCTATTGACAACGCATAAACACCCTGTAAACGTGATTGCTCGAACTTAATAAAATAACATTTCTCTTTATCACTGAAACCTCCTACTCTAACTCATCATTTAGTAACATATAAATTGGTAAGCAACCAGAGTCGTTGAGAATTGAACTTCCATCTCTAATTCATTAGGGATAACTTTAAAAGAAGGCACATGGATGATAAGATTTTATAGCAATAATGTAGCAATAATGAAGCACCTAGAGCTAAAGGTTGCTTTCATAATTTTCCTACAATACTTCCATAATTCATTTAACTCTTTAAAGCAATCCCAAGGCCACAAATATCATACCCCATCTCTCCCAAACTCATCTCTCCAATGCCATAATCATCAATTAAACCATGCCCCAAAAACTCAATCAACAAATGCTTGTGCTCATTTTCTTACTCATGTTTCAACCTTCATCCTTTTCATCAGCACCCACAATAATATATGCCCAAACCAAAATATATGCATGCCCTTACCCCTGTCTACCCCCACCGATAATCCCTTTAAACTGCCCTCCGCCTCCGGGGCTGCCACTACCACCGCCGTTAACACCATTGCCGCGGTCACCGCCGCTGGTACCACCTTTTCCACCAACGCCACCGTTTCCACTGATATATGCACCACCACCACCTCCTAACCCCATTTTGCCTTACTTTCCATGGTACTACAAGAATCCCCGCCACCACCAGACTATTCATCAGCAGTGCCGGTTGAAGTTTTCTCTTATATTTTAGCTATTTCCATGATTTTCCTAGCTTTAATCTCTTTCTTCGTCTAATTTGGTGGTTATAATTAAGGTACAATCCCTGTAATTGTGACCCAATTTTAAATAACATTTATTGCTGCATAGTATTCCTAAACATCTTTAGAACTAGTTAATATTTATAATACCTTCGTTTAAGAATACTAAATAAAAGGAAATGACTTTTCTCTCATAAAATATTTAAATTATTAAATTATTATATATTTTATTTTTATTTTTTATTGATAACATATTTTCATCTCATAAAATATTATAAATTTATTTTTCTAACGTAAAATCATACCTCCGTATTTTGGAATATAAATTCTAAACCAACGATGTGCATGGTGTCAAGTGGGGGCTTAACTTTTTGGAAGAAGACATTTCGATCCTTTTCGGCAAAGGAAGCCATATTCTACAACTTAATGCTGCAAAACGGAATGTGGTCAGCAAAAGATTCCTGTGTTTGGTTCTGATAAATCTAATCAAAAATAAAATTCGATACAATATGTTACGTGGCGTATAATTTATTTTGGATAAATTGTATTATTAGTACTTAATTATTAATGTATTTTAGTTTCAATCATCAAATTATATATTTTTTTAAAAATTTGTTATTAACATTATCGTTTAATCGGTTGCCTTCTGTTAATGACGTGTCTTTGTTTAATTAATATAATATATTCTATTAATTTAATTCTATAAAAAAATGTAATGTCCAAATATAAAGAAAGAAAGAGAAAAGCTTGAATATTTAAATTAACGGAATTAATTTGAAATCGAAAATTAACAAGTAACCTTCTTTCATAGTCTCCAATTTTAGCAAGTTTTCTTATATCGTAATTGGATCATGAGAAGTACGAATCTAATCTTGAATACAAATAGGAGTTTTCACCAACCTAAGAACTGAAGAGGTACGGGGAAAAAATCAAGAATACAGCCTCTTGTGCTAAAAGTGGACTTCAAAACAAAAAATTAAAATTAAAATTGCAAGTATATCATGTGCCATGATATTTATCTAGCTTAGTTGTTTTGTAAATATCATTTAATTTTATCTTGGTCACGTAGTCTTTTTTCAAATTTGTTCTTTTTATTTTTTCCCTCATCACTATGACAGTTAAAATTAGAATCTAAGGTGTGTGATCTCATTTGAGTTAACGAGAGATACAAAAAACATAAAAATCAAATAACGATATCAAAGTATCTTTAATTTGTTGGCATAAGATATAAGTCATTATGATCATAAAAACAACGAACAATACACTCAATATATTTTAACTTGTGCCTACAATCACAAAATAAAACAATGAACATCAACGCACTAACATTATTTGCATTCGCCCGATAATTTTTTTTAATTGAAATGAAGGATGAGCCTTTACAACTTAATGAGAAGCAGTAGATGTCACGCCCTAAATTTGGGGTTAAACGTTCTCGAAGTAGATGATAATTGTTTAAGTGAAAACTAGGTTTTTGAGCACTAAAATTGACTATATTCAAAGTTAAGAAATCTATTTGATGGAAGAGGGACTAAAACGGGCATAAAACCAACTTGTCTGGGAGTGTGCCTTATTGGGTAAAAATATCACAGTTTGTTTTTTATTCGAGGGATAGGAAACCCCACGAATACCATTGTCAATTTACTCATTATTTTGATTCTCGAATACCGCTCCAAAACCAGTTTTAGAGAGTCGGTTAATAACTTCATCGATTTGAGCTTTGAACCATAATCAGAGTACGACAAAAGAATCTTGAGATGTTCATGTGATCACAGATCTCTGTACTGTTCCCTAGCACTGTTTCCTAATAGGTCTAAATCACTATCGTTCAGTTTAGTTCAACTTCGTATATTCAATTTGAAATACATGATCTAGTACTATTGTTCATAGGAATCGTAAAACTTAGTCGATAGAGATTAACCGGTATAGGTGTATCCTTTAACATGTTCGATATATTTAATGTGTTATGTTATATGTTGCTATATGTAGTCATGTTTGTGAATTGGTTATATATATTTATGTGAAATATATGACTTTTGAGCATTGTGATATCACCATTAATTTGCATGTTGATGCATTTTTTATATCTGCATGAGATCCTCTATGGAGGGCAAAATCCCCGTCCTGATTCTACATTCTGCGTGGACTTAGTTTCCTTCCTGATTCTGCATGAGATTATATCTGTCATAATTTTGCATGGGCTTAATCCATGTCCTGATTCTACATGGGACTATATCCCCGTCCTAAATCTGTATGGGCTTAGTCCCCGTCTTGATTCTACACGGGCTTAGTCCCCGTCCTGATTATGGGATTATATCTCTATCATGTTTCTGTTTTGGATCCTCTTCGGAGGACTAGATCCCCATCCTAATTTCTGCATTCTGATTTGGGTTCTCTTTGGAGGGTAATGTCGTCATCATGTTTATCTGCGACGAAAGGTATGGTTGTGTATTATTGATATACACTCTGATGATTGAATCCTGATGTTACCGTTTACGCATTATTTGTACTATTATATATTTAATTATATATGTTTACTGAAGATGACACACTGAGTCTCATAGCTCACTTTGCTTCTGTCTTTTTTTTTTCAGATTATCTAGTTATAGGATCAGTTTGGCTATCAAGGTGTGATCTTGATTATATACTGTATGGAATTTAATATTTATTTTTCAACCTTTTTAAGATGTGACATGAGTTTATTTATGATTTCGTATTCGGTAAATATTTCCAAAATTAATTATTAATAATTTTCGTTTATGTGATCAACGTGGTCATCCTGATTCAGTTGCAATTTTTAGGCTGGATCTAGGGTTACATTATAGATGCCCCTGATATCACATGAAGAGCAATTTGAACAAAGTCAGGAGCGGGATTAAGCCATGTTTGATCTTCAGAATTATGGAGCGAAAATTTTGCAAGGGTGTCCGCCACCATGTTGGACTGGTGGCGGATGAGTTTATAGTCAATCGTCCATCCTCTATTCTGTAAAGAAGCAATGGCACGGACAAGTGGAATGGGACTTGCGATCGTTGTTGAAGATGAAACCATCATAAAGACGTCGATGCTATCAATTTGGCATTGAATTTTTTCGAAACCTTGGTCCCAGTCGAGCTTGAGACCTTCAAATAATCCCCAGGGTTCAGCTTGTCGCCCCGCTAAATTTTAACTTCATCTGATGTGTCATTCTTTAAGTCTATTATTCAAATCATATACATAACCATTAATTATATGTCAACATCGTATATCTCTTCTATAAAGGTATTGTAACATATCGAAAGTTGGGTTAACATTTCGCAATCAGGTAATTTTTGTAACTTTTTTAGTGAAATGGAATTTTTAAAATAAAGTGAGATAAATATTTATTAAACATTAGCAATTAGTTTTGAAATAATAAACATGATTCTATAAAGTGTGATTATATTTTTATTTAAGTGATTAAATTGAATTTGTTAAATATTATTTATTAAGTTATTAACAATGGTGATTAGTCATAAGAGATTTTGATTGAATTCATGAATCAAAATAATATTTTATCTAAAATTTATGAGTTAAAATAATATTTTATCTAATATTAAAGATAAATTAATATTTTCTAAAATCTAAGGTATCATATCATTAAATTAACAGAGTTAACTACTATGCAATCAAAATATAACAATTAATAATATAAATAATTAAATTTAATAATAGAATAATATAAATCTTCAAAATATAATTTTATAATTTAATGAAAAAATAAGTATTAATATAAAAAAAATCAATTTTACAATTCACTAATTTCAAAGACGATAACTATTAGGGTAAATTACACTCTTCCTCATTTAGCTAATTCTTACCTATTTTATTCATCGTACTTTCAATTTTTTTTTTTTGCTCACTAAACTTTCGAATTGCTCATGTTTTGATCACTCCAAATTATATCATTATTATTTTCGTATGATGTGACATTTTTTATTATTTAATATATAAAATAATTAAAATTATAAAATAAAAATAGAAGGTGACCGGACACCACCTCCAGCCACCATCGACCACCGTAGATGGTGATCATTCGATCCCAAATTTCATAGGTCGATTTGCATTGACACCGTGAGTCCGAATTCAACATCGATTTTTTCGGAACTTACTTCGAAGTCCACGAATTGGAGATTAAAGTGATGAAGCAGAACGTTTCAGTCGAGATTCACGGGATTTAGGACATTTTCCAATGAAACAAAAACCAGATTCGGACTCAGGGTCGAGACAAACCAACCCATAAAAGTTTGAGACCGAACGACCACCATGTTCAGCGGTCAACGATGGCCAGAGGTGGCATCCATCCACCTTCTGTTTTTATTTTATAATTTTAATTATTTTATATTAAATAATAAAAATATCATGTCATACAAAAATAATAATAATAATAAAATATAGAGTAATCAAAATAGGAGCAATGTCAAAGTTCAGTGAGTAAAATAGAAAAATTAAAAGTAAAATGAATAAAATAGGAGAAAATATAATAATTGAGTGAAGAACAGTGTAATTTACCCTAACTATTATAGAATTCACCCAGAGCTTACTATGTCTAAATTGGCCTAAATTTAATTAGATTTTACTAGTAGACTGAAGGGGGAAAAGAAAGGTTTGAGCATTTAGATGGAAGGTGCAGAAGTAGAAGAAAGTTTGAAGGTGTTGGACGCCTCTCTTTCTCACATCAAATGGCGTCTTAAATCCCATTCTAAGCGCCGACTCCAAATAGGTCCTTTCTTCCTTTCCTTTAATTTTTGGCCTTCTACCAATTTTTCTCTTTCTGGTTTTTTTTTTTTTTTGGGTATTTTGTTTTCTCAAATGAACGAAGATTGAAATAAGCTAAAGTTCAAATTTTAGAGTTGCTGAAAAGCATGGATGATTTAGTTTTTCTTTTCAAAATCAAGTTTAGATATTTTATTTTCCTCCGAGTGGAGTTAAGTATCAGATATTGGTATGTGGAGAGCAATGCTGGATTTTACTTTTATATGAATTGATTAGATTAAATGAGTGTTAAAACACATTGTTTGATTTTGATAAACCATGGTTTTGATTTATGTTGTTGTATTGATGCCAAAAGCAACAATCAAAAGGAACTTTTGGTGCTTGGCTATGTTTTCCCATGTACTATGAACCACCGTTATTGAGTATTGAAACCGTACAAGTATGGTATCTCTATAAGATATTCTTTTGTTGGTGAAATTCAAATATTTTAATCATAACTCGGCCATGATGCTTTGGCAGATGTTCTAGCTTTGTGCTTCGAAATGAGGCCAGTTGTGATGATTGACTATGGTGGGAAGATGCCTGAATTGCAAGAAAATCTTTGTTCATTTCTCGAGCACAGTCAAAAGGTCTTGTTTAACATTGATTTGTATATTATTTGGGGAATTGAATTGAGTATATCCTTGTGACCTCTATTTTTATTGTTTGTTCCGGTTTCGTTGCATTTCAGTTGTCTAAGCCTCTTAATATACCTTCTCCTTCAATATCATGGCGTAATTGATCCAATCTTGTTCACTTCAGCCGTAATTACCTATTCGCTGAATAGACCGTTCTAGTTGTAGTGGACCATCTATTTTTGTGTTCATACCAAATTAATATTGAAAAGGTCCATGTTAGATGTCTTATAGGCCTGCACAATTGTTACATCTACTGATAATTTTGTTTTTAACTATGCTTGTTGAAAGGTTTATCACTTATGGTTCAATACTATCTCCTAATATGATTTCGTTCAGGCATCGCCTATTTTTGAACAGCTAAGAGTAATGGTTATAGATGATATGATATATCTGATACACGTAAAAGAAATGGCCAAGTATGTGAGTTCAAGCTTGAGTTCAGAAGTGGAACTTCTATTTGTGGATCTAGACCAGGATCCTCCCAAGGTAGAACCTTCCCGTGTGCATTTACTTTCGGTAATTTGTAATCTCTTGTCTAAAATATTCATCTTTTACATTCTGAATGAAGAACTTCACATTTTTGTTTCAGATGATAACTCTAGATGACAAAAATTTACTAGGGATGCAGCTTACGTCAATTCAGAAATTATTCTCCTTGTATTTTCCTCTTGAAGGAATGAGAAACGATCTCTTGCCACCTGACAGGACAGAACTCCAGGCAGATTCCAAATCCTCAAGTGAGCCAATCGATTTTCGGTCTTCTTTACTTATCGATCTTAGTAGCTGCATGCATGACACTGAAGTCACTGTGCCTACTATAAACGGGTAATCTTTTAATCTCATTATTTACATTCAGACATACTCTGTTAAAACACATGCATCTTTGGAGAAAAATCTACGTTGTTTGACCCAGATGTGAGTTGTAGGATAAATGTGTCCGATACGGGTATGCTCAATTTTCCCCTAGTTTTTCCATATATTTCAAGTATCCTTGTAGTGTCATATTCCTATACACATATCCATATATATGCTGGATGCAGATGTTGAGTACAAGCATTTCAAGAAAAATGAAGAATTAAAGTAACATATAGAAAACCGATAACTTTCTGTAATTCCTGCAAGTACACGATTTTGATTATGGCCATCTAAATGTGGTCCAAAATTGATTGTCTACTCTGCGGAGTTGGTGGCACTATCTAGCTTGGGCAATTCTCTGTTTCTAAGTTCTTGCATAAGCAACTTGCCAGTGTATCTCTACTGAAAAAAGACATAATATAAACCAGCAAAACTTTATAATTTTACGAAAACCATGTTGATTTTCTTCAGGCAGTTTCTATATTTGTGGTACCATATATATTTCTACGCATTATAATACTTGGGATTCTTTTCCGGTGCAGATGGCTTCTAGGTTATCCGATAGTGTACTTGTTTAGCAAGGACCATATTGGAGATGCTATATGTAACCTTTCCACCAAATTTCTTCGTATCTACAAAATTTTGGTATCAAGGTTTGTTCTTTCACTTCTTGTCTTTGGATTGTTTAACTTCGATATAAAAATGAAGGCCCACCAATCACTCGAACAATGGCCAATTACGGCTGAGTACATGCTGGAACTTGGTTTCTCAGTAAAATCTCCTAGCTATGTTTTCTGGAAATTGCCTTTTTATCATGTGAAGTAAGAAGGTTGATCCAGTCCCAAAAGTTAAAATCCCAAAGCATACAAAGAAATGCATGAAATTGAAGTTTCAGTGACAATTCGAGAGAAGAAAGTGAAGTAATTAATAGGATATCGAGGAATCAGATTCAAGGAAACATGTTCCTCGATGTCTGAATGTAGCTGTTAAAATGCATGATATGTAGGAGAGGGTCACCACTGCCTTCCCTCCCCTGCTATATATGTATAAAATTCTATTTTATAAGCCACATGAAGTTAATAGTTTGTTCATGTCAAAATTTTGATTTATTTCAGGCAAAGTACGTCTAATAAAGAACCACACCTGGAGGAACTAATGAGGTAAGTTTCTCGTAGGAACGTGTTTAGAGTTTCAAGAGAGTGAGAGGAGAGACACCGCTACTTTTTCCTGTGCCACCTCAGGGTGGTGTAAGTTTGGAGAGTTGCAAGCTTGCTATAGTTAACCTAGTGACTGCTGGTTCAGAAAGTTCGAACGATTATAGTTAAAAGCTTGGATATTATACATCAAAATTACTCAATTATAGACTTCGTATTGACTGGAAATTCTTCTGAAGCTACATCCTTAGTTGCCCCCTCAATGACACCGGCGCACATTTGATAGAAGTTTGTATTTCCTTTTGTTTCCTGATGTATTTTATATTCAAGACTACATCATGATACCCATTTGTTTGTCAAAATCTATTTTACAGTTTTTCAGTGCCCTATGAACTGAGCATGAGAGGGAGCAATGAGCCATGGGCGAAGTCATTTTTGGCTCGCTTGCAGTCGAAAAGGGAAAGATGCAAACATACTTGGAGCTCCTTGCGAATGGAGGTCACCGAATGCTACCCACAAGCAATTGCATTATAGAAAATGGTCTACTCTAATGCCAATCAAACCCTAGTTCCGGCAGGTCCCCGTTCAATATTTCTTCTTGGGATTGAATATTGATAGACTGGGTAGGACTATATAATGTTTGAAGGTACATGGTTCATGAAATTAATGATTACTTTCATTTTGCATCTTCCTTAGGGTTTTAACATAAGATCTTTTTGCAATTGAGAAAAATATTCAGAGCCTTCACTAGTGATCATTTGAAGAAATCTCACTTAACGTACAAATCCAAATTTAAAATTACCAATAAATTGATTTTAAATCGGATCTTATTTGAATCAAATTTGTCCAGCAAAATGAGTAAAACTAGCTCGTGAATATTTTGGATTTAAAATGAGTTTCAGCTTTAGCTAAAAAAATACGGTAGCATATTTCTTTGGGTCAGTCTTTTGGTGCCTCTGGAACCGATGAAACAAGTCTATTTTCGATCCGGACAATCTGGATATGGAAAGCATTATTTCTCGCAGCAGACGGATGCTTAATGAATCAAATCTTGCGGCTTTCACAAAGGCACATGATTTTTTTTTTTTAATCCTGAAAAGGATGTGCAGCAAATGATTATCCTAAGCACCATTGATCAAGGCAAGCACTTCGGCTTCAGCTGGAAGGCAAGTCAATTTATTTTAATCCTTAAAATCAACATAGGGATTCGAATGAAAATTCCCAAATTCTAAGGTTTTAAAACTGGGGATAAATCGGGATGTTACAAAATGTAGACTTAAAAAAGGTATATTAAAAATTTAGAGGTGTCAAATAAATAAATTACATTTTTATTTTGTTCTGATACATTATGCTTACACGAATTCTAAACAGAGAATCGGTTGGTGAATGTAAGGAACTAATAAGCAATGCAAGAAAAGATGAATATAAATTTTGCATTAACTCTTATAAACTACGAGGCATACATTACATGGTGATCAAATTATGGCTGAAATGAAATTAGTCATCAAGAAAAAAAGGAGGGCACAGTCTATTACAATCATCGTCAACGGATTATTCCTTGAGCTAAGATCAAAATCAAGTCTCTAACGAGTAATCAAGATCCGCACGCTAGTCATCTTCGCATTCAGAGTTACAATTAACCGACCTCTTCGATAACAACTTCCATGTTTCGAGAATCAACTGAAATGGAAAGAAAACTTTCGACATCATTACTTTAATCTGCCATTGATGAGTATTTAAACTTCATTCTCTCTGATTAAGAGATTACAGGCGAATCTGATTTCATAAACATAAGCTATTGCAGCAGTTGCATATGAACAAACATTATACACAGCTATGCTACTCGGACTTGGACGTATGATGCAGTATGTTCGATATTTTTTCCCTAAACTTTCATGTGTTTGGAGGGTCTTCGAGTATCATATCCCCTTACTCATGTTCGGATATGAGTCGGACAGTCAAAATGGGTATTTCTTGAAATCGAAGTAACTAGCAATTCGAGTAAAATAACTCACAAGTTAACCGATCTGCTTAGGCGTAGAAGATTTCAGGAGACTTACCTTCCTAGTTAACTTTTAAGGATAGCCGCTCTTTGATATAATTTAAAACCATCTGAAGCTGTTCTTGGTATGCAGCACGTTTCTTTTTCTCGCGATGCAGTTCCGAGGACAATTCTCGAATTTTAAAATCCTTTTCGTCCTACAAATCGGAAGTTAATTCATATAAGGGCAAACCATTGAGCTACATTTATAAACAGATCCAGTTAACGAGTACAAGAGGCAGGTCTCGAAGAGGATGTAACTGCAGGCAGCTTAGCTGTAAAAGGAAAGGACAAATCAGAAGAAGTTAGCTTCTGTACGAATGGTTAAACCAAAATACTTACACTAACATACCTCACAAGCGCAATTCGATGCGATTGTCAAGGTGGTATTTTGCTTGGATTCAGTTCATGATTATGTTCTTTAACAAAACCATAGATAACCCATTTCTCCCCACCTTTTGCTGCTATTCTCAGCATTGCATTACATCCCTCTCTCGTCCCAGGCCGTGATTGGGAAACTCTGGTTTCCTTCTTTGTATATTCTCTGCACGAAACCTTCTTTTGAGCAAACAAACTCTCGACCGATAATTGAATTATCCTTGAGTGATCGACGTGTGTGATTGTTCAGAATGGTGAAGCCCATGCGTCGACCATACATTTCTTAGAACTCTAGCATCCTCCTCTGACTAGAACACCATGCCTGTATATGGTTCCCTGTGTTTCATAGTCACAGGAAAATGTTGATTCAATTGGTTAATCAACTTACTAATCAAATTACCATTTTCATCCAGATTACTATCTGATAACTTATCATCAAGCATTTCATAGCCATCGAATGTTTCAGTCAGCCATTGTCGATAATTCCAGCTCGAGTTAAGCTCTGGATTGAGCTGCTAGTCGTCACAAACTATCAGAAACCAAGTCAAGATCAGTCCGGGGGGGAAAACAGAAAGCCCAAAATCATTGAACAATCTAGCCTTTCCATCGAGAAGAAGCAATGCTAACAGTGAGCAACTGAGCATGGTATTAAATTATGGCCACAACGTAATGTAATGGACGTATCGTAGTGTTTTCCAAAGTCACTACGACACCACAAAATAAAAATGTATTTACTTTTAGGAAATAAATTACGTCGTAACATCTACAATATCCACAACATCCACGGCCACATACCTCTAATTTCATTATATTGTCAAATGTATACAAATTACATATATATAGCATTAACACTAAGGTAACTAGTTCTAACTAACTTCTAACAACATAACAATATTAAACTAATTTCCTATGCTCAACACTCCCCCTCAAGTTGGGTTGTAAAATACATCTTTTACTCCCAACTTGGATAGCAGATATTCATGCTATGAAACTCCAAGGGCCTTTGTTAAAATGTCTGCTTGTTGTTCTGAAGTTGGAACAAACTCTGTCTGAATCAGTCCCTTTTGAATCTTTTCCCTTATAAAGTGACAATCTATCTCTATATGTTTTGTTCTTTCATGAAACACTGGATTGGCTGCAATCTGCAAAGCAGGCTTGCTGTCACTGTAAACCTTTGTCGGCTGATCATTGTTGACTGATCATTGTTGACTCCAAGTTCTTTTAGCATCCCTTTCCGCCAAACAAGCTCTGAAGTTGTTATGGCCATACTCCTGTACTCAGCTTCTGCTGATGACCTTGCGACAGTGCTTTGTTTTTTAGACTTTTATGACACTAATGATTCTCCCAGTTTAATACAAAATCTTGTTACTGACTTTCTTGTCATGGGACAAGTTGCCCAATCTGTGTTACAACTTGCTATAAGCTGACAATTGCTCGAAACCTTCAACATAATTCCTAAACCAGGATTCTTCTTAATGTATCTCACCACTCTAAGAGCTGCTTCCATGTTCTCCTTTTTGGGTTGATGCATAAACTGACTTAAATGTTAAACTGAAAAAGCTATGTCTGGTCTTGTATGTGTTAAATACAACAACCTTCCAATAAGCCTCTGAAATTCTGCTTTGTCAGCTAAATGATCTTTCTCTTGATTCTGATGTCGCTGAAATGAACTATCATAGTCCACTGTAGTAAGCTTGGTATTCTTCTCTAAAGGTGTTGCACTAGGTTTTGCACCACCAATTCCAGTATCTTGAATAAGCTCAAGAGCATATTTCCTCTGATTTAGAAGTATTCCTTCCTTTGATCTCAAAACTTCTAGACCAAGAAAGTACTTCAACTCACCCAAGTCTTTCATTTTGAAACTTCTATGCAAAACCTCTTTCAACTCTGCAATCATTTTCACATCATTTCCAGTAATCATCAAATCATCAACATAGACTAAAAGTACCACAATATTAGTCTCATGCTTCTTAGTAAACAAAGAATAATCATATCTACTCTGATCATATTGTTAACTTCCTAAAAAGGCTACTTTTAAGGCCCTTTTTACTTAAGTTATTTTTTCTTTTAAAAGATCATTTTAGGCATTTTAGGATCATGTAGTTGCATATAGTTGCATTTGTGGTGGTAGTGCTATTTTCTTTCTTAATGATGCTGCTTGAGGGAGAGGTGCAGTTTGTCTGTGGTGTGCAGGGAATAGTAAGCAAAAGGACTAGATGGGAAGTAATGTCGCGGCATCACACGTTGTTGAAGCAGATTGAAATGCCTTGGCATTTCTGGCGCATAAAATGACAAAAAAAATAGTTGTATGAGGACAGGTGGCTCTGCACGTGAAATGATTGTTGTAACTGCCTGCCAAAGCTGCTATGGGACCACTGCCACCTCGAGGATAAGGTTCACGCACTACATGTGATTCTAGGGGTATGAGGGGTATTTTTCACCCAACAACCTCATCATTACCCCTAGATATTTTTATTATATATTACACCTCAATGGAGACACTACAAGACGTGAAGAGGCACACGCATATAGCAGAAAAATTCCATTTTTATTTTCCTTTTCCCTTCTTCTTCCTTGGGTATTCCTCCATTGATTAAGCTCCAAGGAGTGGCGAGCTAGGTGCCGAGAGGAGCTAGCAAGCTAAGGTGATTCGTGGTGGCCGAGGAGACCTCCGGTGGCGTGTCGAAGGCTACTTCTCACTTCCCTTTTTGCTACAATTTTTATATTTATTTGTGGGTTGTTGGAACGAATATTTGCATGACTTTGTGTTTGGAAATTTTGAACCCCACCATGAACTAACTTATTTGGTGGTGGTTGGTTTAATGAATGTTTAGACTTTATTTTAATGGTATATTTAAGTTTATTTTGGTTCTTTATTTGCTTTGCTTATGAATGCTTCACCATCTAGGCTTGTAAGAGGCATGGAAATGTCCATTTCTTAGATGAAGTTTAGGTATTCAGGAGAAACCTAAGCTAAAAATACTTGTAAGTATTCGAGAGAACCGCAAGACAAGATCCTCATAAGCAATGGGTTATAGTATTTTCAAAGGGCTTTGAACCGGCCTAGGAATATTATAACCTAATCCCTTAGATCTCGGGAGAGACTAAGATAGGATTTCAACTACTAAAAAGGGTGTCTTTATCAATAGGGTAGGCTGGCCAACATCGTTGAGTGAGAGCAGATGCCTTGGCATCCTATTCTGTTAGGTTCCTTTGAGAACATTTTAGGAAAGCCCTGTCGAGCAAGTAAAGATTAGATAGTTTAAA